TGCTGTACAAGCTGTACCAGTATGTCAGGTCGCTGGAGGCCATGGGCGTTCCGTGGATCGTAGGAGGCGACTTCAACATGGAGGTAGGCGAGCTCGGCCCGTTGTCCTGGCTCCAGTCGGCCAATGGCGTGGTGCTGGCGCCGAGAGAGCCGACTTGTCTTCAGAGCCTTCCTGGCCGCACCATTGACATGTTCATGGTTTCTTGCCGTTTGCTGCCTCGCGTTCGGCAACCAGTGGTCGTCGACGCGGAGACGTGGCCGCATCTACCAGTGACCATGGAGCTCTCCGCCACGGCTTTTGACGCGAAGGTCAGGAGGCTTGTCGAGCCACGCGGCTTTCGGAGGCCGCCTGCGGCGGGGTGCGCGAGGTTCCCCCCCGACTGGGACCCGATCTTGGCGATCATCCAGAGCGCGTCGGACAGCGAGGGCATCACCAGGGCCTGGGACGTCGTGCTCAGCGGCATCGAGTTCGAGCTGCGGGGCCGCTACGACGTCGTGAAGGACGTGGCGGGGTACTCCACGGTGCCAGGCCCCCCGACCTTCGAGCTGGCGAGTTTTCACCCTGTCGTGAAAGGTGCCTGGAGCAGGAGGTCGGCGGACACCCAGGCCTGGGCGCAGGCTGCGCGCTGGGCTCGTCACCTCAGGAGGGTTCGAGTGGCCTTGCAGAGCTTCGTGCTCCAGCTTCGCCCGCAGCAGGTCTTCGAGCTCGGCAGCGTCGGCGAGGCGCACGTCGACGGAGTGCCTGGCCTGGGCGATGGGGCACCCCCTGCTGCGGAGGTCGTCGGAGTGGCTGGTCTCTCCTCCGATGGTGGTCGGCCTCGGTCGAGAGCTCAGCGACACCAGCCCCCGCGACGTGCAGGCGAGGACCTATCGTGGGACGCCGTGCACTCCAAGGCGGCGCGCCACCTGCTGGAGTGCGAGAATTTCTTCCAGAGAATCTGGCGGAGGAAGGGAGTCTGGCCGCACCTGGACGCCGAGGCCGTCGGCTTCTTCTCGCGTGGCATACTTGCCTTAGCGCAGGCAGACTTCGAGCAGCAGGTCGACCGCATCCTGAGTATCTCCTCCGATGCTGAGGCCAAGCATGAGAAGGCCGTGATGCAGAGCTGGAGGCAGTGGGCGCAGGCAGCTTTTGTGGCTGGAGCCAAGGGAGCTCACCGATTCATGAAGCCCAAGGCTCTCCAGGAGATCGTGGACGGAGGCAATGGGCTACAACATGGGTACGTACTGGCTGATCGTAAGCTTGAATACTGGGAAAGCTTCTGGGTGCGGCATGGCGGTGAGCTGGCTCGCCGACCTGTTGATGCTGACACTTGGGAGCAGCTGCCAAGGCTTGAGGCGGCCGACGTACTCAAGGCAATCCGTTGTTTCTCTTGGCAGACAGGCGTCGGGCAGATCAACATCGCGCCCAGGGCCATGGAGCACCTCTCCCACGGGGCGCTGACGGCCATGGCGCGCCTCTTCGAGCGGTGCGAGCACCTCCTGCTGTGGCCAGACGGCAGATTCCTCTCGAAGCTCGTGAGACTCCCCAAGCCAGGGGGTGGGGAGCGCCTGATTGTGCTGATGAACACGCTGGTCAGGATCTGGGGACGGGCGAGGCGGCCTGTCTCGGCAGCGTGGGAGAAGGCCCATGCGCTCCCAGAGGTCTGGGGCCACACTGGAGGCAAGTCGTCGAGTGATGCGGCCTTTGATTTGGCGCTCACCAAGGAGATGGCGACCCTGTGCGATGACGACGCCATCATTGTGCTGCTGGACATGCTCAAATGCTACGAGCTGGTCAGGCATGATGCCATTTTGTTGGAGTGCAGGGCCAATGGATACCCTATGCGAATGGCGTTCATGCTTGTGCAGATGTACCAGCAGCTGCGTTCGGTGTACTCGTATTCTTCGTATTCAGTGGCGCGCAGGGCGTATCAGGGCATCCTGGCAGGCTGCACCCACGCCACTACGCTTCTCATGGTGTTGTTGACTCGCAGCATTCGCCAGACGATGTCGGTCGCTCCTCAGGTTCAGCCCAAGGACTTGGTGGACGACGTCGCGCTGTGCTGGGTCGGCAACGACCCGAGCGGGGTGCGAGAAATGGCCATTGCCACTCGTGCGTTCTGCAGGGCTGTCCGGCCCCTCGGGCTGGTGCTGCAGATGGATAAGTCTGGGCACCTTACGACGTCCAGGCGCACCAGCTACCACTTTCAGAAGTACGCTAGGCTGCTGAAGATCGCTGGCAGGAGGCACATGCGGTATCTTGGCCACGACCTAGCTGGGTCGTCGGCCACAAGGGCCGTGCAGAAGGTGCGCCTGAAGGCCATGCACGGCAAGAAGGCCAGCGTTCGAGCATTGCAGAAGGGAGCAGGACGACAGCGGGCGGCTCGGCTCTGGGCCACGGGCGTGCTGCCATCCGTGGGACACGGAGCCACGGTCAGCGGCATCAGCGACACGGAGCTGCAGCAGATGAGGACCATGGCTGGCGTCTTCTGTGGCTACAAGGGGTCGGGCTCCCTGACGCTGTACCTGGCCGCGCAGCAGTGGAGCTTCGACCCCATATTCCACGCTACCTTCAGCATCGTGGGGCAGTACGCGGCGTGGGTGTGGGATGGGCGTGTGACGCTCTCCCGACTGCAGCGGGCCTGGATGGGCTTGCGTGACTCCTGGGAAGCCCGCCACACTCACGTCACGTGGGCCAGTGCGCAGGGCCCGCTGTCGGCCTTGTGGTTGTCCCTCAGGAGAGTCAACTGGAACATGGCAAGTTCTACAATCTTGGTTGACGATGAGGGCCTGCATATCAGTTTGCTGCAGTATTGTCCCAGTGAGGTGCTGTTTTTCCTGCGTCGCAGCCTCGACCGTTGGCAGAGCCATCGTATCCTCGACCAGCTGCCTGAGGCGCCCCCAGCCGATGGTGACGGCAGGCGGCAGCAGCATGTGTGGCTTCGTGCGCTTCGACTGGGACACGCCTCCTTGGCGCCTGGCCACAGAGGGGCTCTGGCCAAGCTGCAGTCCAACGGGTTCTGGTCGCCGCAGCGCCGCATGCAGGCTGGCTACGGCGGCGACGGTTCGTGCGAGTTCTGCGGGGAGGCCTGCTGCGACCTCGAGCATGAGATCTTCGGCTGCAAGGTATTGCATCAGCAGCAGGAGGACGAGGAGACGGAGCCGTACCCCGAGGAGGTGGCCAAGAGGAGGAAGGACATCCTGGAGGCAGCCCCGTGGCGCGACGGGGGCCAGGTGCAGGACTTCTCGGCCATCGACGTGCTCTACGCGCTGCCCCTGAGGCCTGTTTTCAGGCCGCTGCCTGCACGTGCTCAGGCTGAGCGCGAGTGGGGGGCGATCGACATGCCGTGGCCGTCGAAGTTGTACGGGGACGGGTCCTGTCTTGAAAGTGATTTCCCTGAGGAACGGCGCTGTGGCTGGGCCGTCGTGGCATTGACCCGAGACCTGTGGCCATGCAAAGCTTTGTTCGGGAGCCTGGGGGGCCCTATCCAGACGGTGCCCAGGGCCGAGCGCGTTGCTGGTCTCAAGGCCCTGCAGAGGGCCCAGAGGCCAGCCACGTACGTGACTGATCATTTACAGCTGCAGGTCGAGGGAATGGCCTGGGAGGGTCGTCATGCTTCTGCCAGAGCGCCTCACGCGTCCATCTGGCGGAGCATCCACGAGCTGTATAGAGGCGACCCTGTCAGGCCCGTGTTTGTTTGGACGAAGGCCCATCGGACCGTCATCGAGGGGTTTGATGCCTGCCTGGCTTCCCAGGAGCCCCTGGAGCATTTTTTCGGTAATATGTGGGCTGATGTTTTCGCCCGCGTGGCTGCGGCAGATTTCCTTGGATCCACCTCCGTGGTCAAGGCTCACAAATTTTCTCTGCTTCGGGCCCAGGACACGATGCGTTGTCTGGCCTGGGCTGCCGAGCGCGTGGCCCGCCTCTCCACCCCGATACTCCGTGCGCCTCCGAAGGCTGTCTTTCGGCCCCGCCGTCCGCGGCGGCCGACCGATCACGACTTTGTGGTCTTCGCTGGGGGAGCGATTCGTGTCGAGCCTGCTGGAGGCTTGCAGCGACGGCTTCGTCGTTGAAGTCTCTGGCCTCCCGTGCTTGCGACCCCCAGGAGGTCGGGCCAGGACACCAGGTCCAGGCCTTGGAGCGAGTTTTGATCTGTGTAAAGTGCGGGGCGCACGCTGTGCGCCCCAATCGGCTGTCGGTCGGCCTGTCTCGAGCGTGCAAGAGGGCTGGGACGGGGTCGGCGGGAGCTGGGAGTGGGGGGGACGGAGCTATCGCGTCGATGCTCGAGCAGGCTCGAAGGGGCCTGCATCCCAAGACGGGCGAGCCCCTCGAGCCGCTCGTCTTCTCGGAGCTCGGGGAGCCTGCGATGCCGCAGCAGGCGCCCGAGCCCGAGGCACCTGCATAGTGGGCGGAAGTACAGGCGTGGGTTTGTCTTCCCAACGGGGGGCGCGGTGCGTGTGGGAACTGCCCGGCGTTGCGCCGTTAGTGACCCTCGCACCGTTGCTCCCCGGCCCCGCGCACGGCGCGGAGAGTGCCCCTTGTTGGATGAGGGTCTCTCTCTCGTCCCTTTTCCTTTTCGAGGCGTGTTCGTGATTCACCTGCACGCTCTCGGCACTGTCCTCACTGTCCTCACCTCCTTCTCTCCCACAAACCTCCCCTCGTCGCCCCCTTCTCCTTCGCATCCCCCTCTCCTCGTCCTCCGCTCCGTCTCCTCGCCCCGCCCCAGACCGCCGCTCGAGAGCCCCCCGTCCTCGCGCATGCGTCCGCCGCTCGTGCCGCGGCCTGTTCCACCAGAGTCACCGGAGGTCTGGGGTGAAGTCGGGCGTGTCTCTCTGCAGGAGGAGTGCTCACAAGTAGCTTGAAAAAATAATGAGTCTGGGGACGATGTTTCGCCTATGTTCGGGTATTGGGAGCTTCTTGGGGGCACTTTTTATTTTCCATCGATGGTCCGCCTGCAGGAGGACCTGCCCGACCGAAGTCCGGGGCGAAGGGCCAGCGGGCAGCGGGCGCCGGCGCGCCAGGCGCCGCGGCCGCCGCCGTGGGCGTACTCACGAGCGCGCCCTGGCTCCTGTTCTGCTTCTCGGCGACCCCCGCGCCGCGCCTCGCTGCTCCCCGGGCCTTCCAGATGGGGTTCAGGGTTCCCAGACCCCCTTGCGCCGCGAGAAAATCGCGACGGGAGGTCTCCTGCTATTTTCGGCCTCTGGGAGACCCAGACTGGGCCTCCTCGGACCGTCAAGACACGACTCCGGGTGAGAGACGGGTCCTGGGGAAAGGGTCCAGATCATCGGGGGTCGACGCTGTGAAAAAGTCACGACGTCGGGGGTCTGGGTTGAGGATCGCGCCGCATCGCCGACGCATCGCCGATGCGGCTCGATGTGGAGCCCGTTATGCTCCGCGTTGGCGTCGCCGATGCGCTGCCGACGTCGCCTATGCATCGCCGATTCATCGGCGATGCGGCGCGATCCTTCGACCCCATCATCTCGGATCCCATCCAGGAGCCTGTACCTGTGCGCCTCATGCTCGAGATAAACGGTGTTTTGTCGATGTTGTGGACTGTTTTCGTTTTGAGGTCGTTTTGAAACAGAGGTGGGACGAAAACAGGAAGAGGGATAACGGCAGGAAAGCGAAAATGAAAGGCACTGTGTTTAGGGCGAACCTTGCTGTACAGCGCGCAACGCGCCATGAAGCATCGAACAACAAAGAGCGACATAAGCTTAAGTCAGGACTGTCCCTGTACAGGAAGAATATTCAAAGATAGTATGAGGATTTCGTTCATAATTTGTTCTGCTGTTTTTTACTATGTTTTATGTTTCGCCCAAAATCCGCCTGTAGGGGGGCATGCCCGATCTCAGCATGAGCACGAGCTTGCCGCGGTCCGCGCGGATTTCTTTGGATCGGCAGTGGGGGCCCCTGGCGGTGCCTCCGGCGCCGCTTCGGCGGCCTCCGCGCGTCGGGAAGGGGGGCCCAGCGCCGATCCAAGACATCGGCGCGGACCTCCGAGCGCTTGGATGCTTATGCCGCATGCATCCATATTTGATCGGATGTGGACAGACCTCCTACCCTGACACGTCGATTGAGGAATTGGCCGTTTTCGGTTCGCGAGAGGGCGTCGCGGCCGTCATTTTTGCGGGTCCAGGTCCGTCGGTTTCGGTCCCAGGCCGTTTTCCCTAAGGGAGGTTTGTCCACCGCCGAATGTTTCTGATTTTTCCAGAAATCGGACATAAGGTTCGAGGTGTCAGGCTTCCTGGCGGCTCCCCAGCCTCGGGGAGCTCTCCAGCAGCCGCGCCTCGTCGAAGGGCGTCCGGGGAGGCCCGGATCGTCCCAAACGGCCGCCAGACGCCCGAGTTATGACCGAACGCCGGGCCCAGTCGGCGTCTCAGGGGTAACGTAGGGGGGGAAAGGCCGAGGGAACGAATCGATCCACCATCGCCGATTGCTCGCCGAGGGGGGCCCGATGGCCCACCCCGCCCGGGAGCGTCCGGTGTCGCTGTCAGGGGCCTCTGGCCGACCCGTCGGCGAGGTGCCACCGATGCCAGGTCGATGTGTTCCTCACACTGAGCCGGTCACTCCTTGCCGTTTCCCTTTAGGGAAAAAGGGGATCTGTCAGAGCCCCGAATCATCAGGGGTAACTCGGGTCAGGGATAACTCGGGTTCGTTTTTCGGGAATCCAAGCCCGAGTTACCCCGGACCCGAGTTACCCCGGATAACTCGGGCATCCAGAGCCCCGAATCATCAGGGGTAGCTCGGGTCAGGGCTAACTCGGGTTCCTTTTTCGGGAATCCAAACCCGACTTACCCCGGACCCGAGTTACCCCGGATAACTCGGGCGCCCAAATCTGAGGGAGAGGGGTCCTGCATTTGTTTCCTAGTTTCTGGCGTCCTTTTCACCGAAGAGTGTAAAGCAGCATTCAGGTAAACCTTCGAAGGCCCGCGCGGGCTTCTTGGATCGCCGCTGGACCGCCCTGGCGGCGGCGCGCATGCGGGCCCATGGGCTCGCGGGGCGACGTCTCTGATGGGCAATGTGCAATTCTACCACCCACGTGTGACACAGGGGTCGTGTGATGGGTTTGAGCAGTGTCGGCGCGATGCTGCCTGCGCTCGAAGTTGTTTGTGCGTGCTTGCACGTACTTTGGCCCTTGTGCGCTGGCTCCTGCAAGAGGATGATCGACCGCTATGCTTCCTGCACGTCTGCGCCCCCGCCTGCGAGCGCCTTCCACGTGCGCGCCGCGCTTCTGCGCCTGGCTCTGTGCGCGACGGTCCGTGCAGTCCGCCCACCTGGTTGCTAACTACACGCCAGGAGGCGCTCGACCGCGCGCGCCCGCGGCTTCGTAACTAGTTGCTCGCGGCGGTGCCGCCACCTCGCCGCCGGAGGAAGAGGTGCGCGTGCCTCGCGTGATTACGCAGACGAGTGTGGGCGTTCGTGCCTGCGTGAAGCGTGCAGGTGCTTACTTGGCTGGCCGACCGCGTGGCCACCCTGCGGGCCCGAAGTTGCGGCGAAGGGGAGGCGCGCCTCGGCGGCGGCGGCCTCGCCAGGGAGTCACACCCGAGCTGGGTGCCGTGCTCGCTGGCTGAGGCCAAGGCAGCACCCTCGGTGGGGCCGCAGCGCGTGATGTCTTCCGTGGCCTGCCCACGACCAAAAGTGAAGGTGTCTGCTTGTGTGCCGCTTTTCCTGTGCAGTCTGGGCTCTCTTGGTGGGCCGTGCCGCGTGCGTGCCAAGGCACCGCCGCGCTCCCACGGGTGCTTTGCCAGGCCCCTCACGGGCTGGGAGTTTGGCGGATATGTTCGCCAACCTCGAGCTCGTCCCAACCCCTGGGATCGGCAAGCCCAAGGCGGTGGCAAGCTCAGGGGTGTGCCCTCGGGGACTGGGTGAAGCCTTAAGGTCGGCACCGCAATAAGGCGACGCCAATCTCAGAAACAGTTTCAGTGAGTCTTTTTTAGCAGCTCTGTTTAACATACACGATATACTTCTTTGCACTTTTGTGGAAGCCACGGAGGGCAACTCAATGCCGCTGGGTTTGACAAGGACAGCGAGAAGGAAACTGGAGGCCACCAAGGGCAGCTTGCGCACGGGCAGCCCTCCCCGTGGCAGCCCCGACCAGCCTCCACGGGCCCCCTCGGGTGGGCCCGGCCGGCCTCGGCAGGCCCGCGCAGGCGGCCCTCGACAGGCCCCCGCAGGTGGGCCCCGCCGGCCTCCGACAACAGGCCCCCCCCGGGTGTCAGAGCGTGAAGTACCTGCCCCGCTTTCGGGCAAAGCCAAGGCATAGCCAATCCAAGGCACAGCCAAGCCCCGCTTTCGCTTCCGGGCAAAAGCCAAGGCATACCACGCGCCTCCTCGTCAAGCGGCCTGGCCAGTACAGGCCGTAGTTTGGCATCGCTTGGCATCTCTTGGAAGCGAGGGTGGTCAAAAGCGAGGTAGGTTCGTTCGCCCCCCAGGTAGCCCGTCGACCTTCGCGTGCCATCCCACCGCGGCTTCGGAGGGGTATGCGTATGCGAGGGGGGTGGGGTGAGGGTTTGTGTGCGTGTGTGTGTGCGGTCTGCCCCCGACGCCTGCCCGTTTCGGCTCACTCCTCGTTCCCGATCCCTTCTTTGCCACCCCGACAGCACTGCCATTCTCCTGGTCCTCTTGTCCTCTTCGGTTGCATCCGCACGCGCTCGCACTCCGGCCGTTGATGCACCGTCACTGCTGCGTCGCAGAGCGCGCCGCTGCCGAGGAGAAAGTGTGTGTGTGTGGCGCATTGCGGTTTGATTCGCGATCGTATGCCCTACCAGTGTTTTTCCGCCAGCGCGGCCGCTTTGCCTAGTCGCCGACACAGAAGCTGTGTGTATGTGCGTGTGTGTGTGTGTGTGTGCGTGTGTGTGCGTGCGTGTGTGTGCGTGCGTGTGTGTGTGTGTGTGTGTGTGTGTGTGTGTGTGTGCGTGCGTGCGTGTGTGTGTGTGTGTGTGCTTGCGTGCGTGCGTGCGTGCGTGCGTGCGTGCGTGCGTGCGTTGCGTGCGTGCGTGCGTGCGTGGGTGTGTGTGTGTGTGCGTGCGTGCGTGCGTGCGTGCGTGCGTGCGTGCGTGCGTGCGTGCGTGCGTGCGTGCGTGCGTGCGTGTGTGTGTGTGTGTGTGTGTGTGTGTGTGTGTGAGCTCGTGTTCTCGCTCGTTGCTCAAGCGCCGTTCCCCGACGAGAGGGTAGGCCCCGGCCGTGCCCCGCGCCGTCGCACCGCCGAGGGCCGTGCCCCGGCCGTTGCGGCGGAAAGTCCGGAGGCCCGACTCGATTCGGTTCGATTTCGACGTCGATGGCTTCCGATTCCGGGTCGGTTCGACTTCGGATGCCAATGTGGTTTCTGAGTTCTTATTGGAGGCACATTCGCCTGCCGATTTCCGCGGATCCCACTTCTCCCGACTCGGCTGCCGATTTCCGCCGATCCGATTCATGTCGATCGCCGATCCGGCTTACAGTCAACCCGCATAGTAAGGATGGGCAACCTTCCCGAGGGTACCCTTGCATCCTTGCCCTTCGGCCCATCCTTGGCCGCTCTCGTTGGCCTTGCCCCGCTCGAAAAGCTGCGACATGGGCGTCCAAGGCCCTTGCGTCCTTATCGCGCATCCTCATTCCACGGGCTGACTGTATCGACTTTGGGCTCTCCCGCCCTCCCGGGGCCCCGCCCGCCCCTGGGGTCTGCCGGTGCGCTCCGGAGTGGGCCTGCCGCGGTCGCGCTTCGCGGCGCGCTGCGTTGCCCGGGTGCTGTGCTGCGCGCGTGGTGCCCAGCTCCCCGTTCACCCTCCATCCCAACTCTTCCTCCTCCTCTCTCCTCCTCCTCCTCCTCCTCCTCCTCCTCCTCCTCCTCCTCCTCCTCCTCCTCCTCCTTCTCCTCGATCCCCTCCTCCTCCCTTCCATCATGCCATCCGTCAGCCCGCAAGCATCGCTCCTCACTTCTCCATCCATGGGCGCCTTCCCTCGTCCTCGCTCGTCCTCCCCGCACCCCCTGGCCCCAGCTCGTTCGCATCCCCCTCCTCGGCTCCCCTCCCCTCCCCCCCCTGTCCCGCTCTGCTTGATGCCTTTTATCGCTTCCTGCTGTTTTGCTGGGCTCTCGAGCTCGCGGCGCCTCTTTGCGTCCTCTGTCTGTGAAGTCTTGCGGGCGCGGGCACTACTGAGCCACCGTCGCAGGAGCTCTCCTGGGCCCCCCAGGGGTTCTGCTAAGACTGGGGGGGCGGGGTGTGGGGAGACTGGAACAGTTTGGGCGGGAAGTCTCGAGCGCGGCGCCACCGCCCACAAGGCCCCCCCCCCTATCCAGTGCCAGTGCCGAACATCGCGCTCGGGGCCCGCGTGAGGCGCTCCCCCTTGCCGACCGTCCGCACCGCCCCCTCCGTCTCCCGTCCAGACCCCCAGAGAGCCCCGACGAATGCATCCGAAAAGTTGGCCGAAAGCCTAACAGAGGAGACCACCCCCCACCCACAGACGGCCTCCCTAGGCTTAGGGATGGGCAGCACTCTGATATCCCACTGATGGTGGCGAGGACGTTGAGGTTGATGATTCTGATGCCCACACTGATGTCAATGGCGCTTGAGCTGGCGGAGGCAATGGTTGAAGTTTGCCCCCCCCGGGGATGCTAACGGGGCTTGCGACATCACGGCCATTGACATCATCGTTGGTATCACCATCATTAATATCAACGTCCTCGCCACCGTCATCATGGTGGGGGACGTTTGGTCTGTGTGGGTATTGTGTTACTATCAGCGTTTGCGTTCCTCGTGGCCCTCGCCCTTCGTTGATTTGTGCAGGAGTCACCAGCGACATCGGAACAGCCAGGCTCCTGCACACGTCAGCGAAGGGCTGGGGCCGCCGCGAGGAACGCAGACGCTGAAGCCGCAGCATCTGGCCCCATCGGCAGAGACCATCGCGATTGGGTCAGAGCAGATGGTGTCGGAGGATCGCGCCGCCTCGGCGATGCATCTTCGACGTCGGCATGGAGAACGTCGGACGCCGCAGCCGACCGCCGAAACCCCCTGCGGCCGTTGCGGCGGCGGCCCCCGCAGGCGATTCGGCGCGACGACGGGTACGCCGTGGAACCCGGCTTCTCCCTCGGTGACGCCGGCAGACTGCAGCTGCCCTGGCCCGCCGCGTGTAGGAGGCAGGGGAATCGCCACCCCTGACGTTCAGGGAGGAAAAGGTGCCCATACCCTCGCCCTTCCCTGGTTTTCCCCTCTGGGGGCCTCCTGGGCAGCCCTCGTCGCAACTGCTGGATTCGCTTCCAGATCCTTGTCAGAATGCGCCCCGGGAGAAGTCTGGGGAGTAGCGGCATCGGTACCTTCTGCTTTCCCCGTGACGTCCTCCCGTGGTGGAAAAATCGAGACGGGGGTCTGCCGACGTTCGGCCTCCAGGGGCCATCGCCTGCCCCCCCGGACGTTCGAGCAACGACTCGGGGTGAAACACGGGTCCCGCCGGGGCAGGGGTCCAGCCCTCTGGGGAGCTACGTTGTGAGCAGGATCGCGACAGAGCCTGTCTGGGTGTATGGGAGGAAGGGTATCGCCACCAACCAACCGGGCGAGGGGGGGGCAGGACCAGGGGTGGAGAGGAGGGGAGAAGATGTGGAACATTGAGAGGGGGGGGTATTTGGCGTGTGGTGCGGGCGGTGGTGGGCGCTTGCTTTCATCGTGCGCAAGACGGAGGAGGAGGAGGAGGAAAAGGAAACGGAGGAGGAAGAAGAGGAAAAGGAGGAGGAGGAGGTGAGGAGGAGCAGGAGCAGAAAAAGGAGGATGAGGAGGAGCAGGAGCAGGAACAGGGGGAGGTGGAGGTGGAGGCGGAGGCGGAGGCGGAGGCGGGAGCGAAGGCGGAGGCGGTGGGGAGGGCGGATGGGAAGGACGGAGGACGAGAGGGGTAGGGGGAAAAGAAACAGCAGAAGGAGAGGGAGGAAGAGGAGGAAAACACGGAGGACGAGAGGGGGGTAGGAGGAGGTGGTGGAGCAAGAAGGCCCTTCCTCTTCCTCCTCCCGCTCGTCGGTAACCGTTTTGGCTCAAGGCTTTTTGCGCTCGGGCTGCCAAGGCCGCTGTTTTTGTCCCACGCAGCCCCAGCTGTTCGCCCATGTTCAGCGGGCGACGGTGCATTGTCGTCCCTGTGTTTTTCTCCGCGGTTGTCGCGTGCCGTGATCACTTGCCCTCCCCCGCCTGGCACTGGCGGTTGAGGAGGACGCGAACCCAAAACCGTGCTGTCCTCGTCGTGGCTCAGGGCAGACAAGTGCTCGCCTTTCATCACGGAGACCGCCATCTCGCCACGACATGGACTGTTGCGGGTCGTGAGGGCCTTGGCAACGGTGGCGACAACGGGCGTATGCCATCGCGTTCGGCGTCCATACGGTTTGCGTTGTCCTTGCGCGAAACTTCAGAACCTCTTTCCCGCACAGGAGCAAGAAGGCCGTCTACAAATAAGTGTGAAGTTACATTGCATGTCTGTTATATCATATTCTAGCGAGAGCCGTTCGCTCGCATATATCACGCAACGCTCGCGCAATCCACAGCAGTTTCTGTTCACGTGCCCACGGTGGCTGGGTCGCTCGTTCATGCGCGACGCGGCCACCGTGGGCACGTGAAATCCATTCACACAGCGCGCTGCAGAAACGGGCAACAAAAACGCTCACGAAAAAGCATACAACACTCGTGGTGCGGCGCCTGCAGAAAACATGTCGGCGCCGGGGGGGCAAATCGTGCACCTGCTGTATATTCTCACGGCCAGAATCGCGCCTAGAGGACACCCAGGCGGCTACACAAATGCCTTGGACGCCAGCCGATGTTTCCAGTGGGTCTCACTGACAGGCAATATGTGGGTCATTGTGGGCCCCCGCTTTAGATGTTTGCAGGCAGCGGTCGCTCGGCGCCACGCCCGCCCTTGCCGGCCGCGCGGCCGCGGTGCGCGACTTCGGCCGCGCGCGCTTTGCAATGCAACCCGCGGCTCAAATTTAAACAAAGTTTGGTTTGGTTGCGTTGTTTTGTTGCAGACCTTTTCGCTGGCGAAAGTGCTCTGTAGGGAGAAGAGGTTGTGACGATAATCGTCCTACGCTTGAAGTGGTGCAAGCACTGGGCGAGCGATGGCAGGGAGGCCGAAAAGCTGGTGTTGGCTAGAGCTCGTCCTTTCCGCTGTGCTGGCAGCTGTGCCAAGCCCTTGGAGAAGCTCGACGTCGACGCCGCGCAAGCACCCGCGGCTTTCGCCGAAGCTCATCTCGTGGGGGCAGAGACAGGGCGGCAAAGTACAAATCGGCAGTTGTGGCCAAGACCAAGCCTTAGTCAGCAGCCAGGTCACGGGAGGAGTCGTTGTCGATGGCGTGGTTGGCCGAAACGTTTGGGGATACGGCGGCCTCGAGAAAATGCCGGCAGCTTGGGTGACTTGGCAAGCCGAAGTCGCCGGAGACGCCCGCGCAGGTCCGCGCGAGCCAGGCCCGCGCCAAAGTTCGAGATGCCATTGGGCGTCTCGAGTCGGATAGCGCGGTGCTGGTGCAAATTGAATGCCGGGAGAGTCCGGCGGTGACCATGGTCGAGGAGCGCGGGTCGGCGGAAGCGGAGTGCAAGTCGGCGGCTTCGGAGGTCGCCGCGGGGCGCGGGGCCCCAGCCGCTGCGGCGTCGAGTTCAGCGGCGGCCAACGGCAGCGGGCCAGTTGAACCCGCGCCGACCACGCTCGTGGACGGAAAGCTCGACGGCATCGATTTGGACGACGATAGGCTTTCCGGTTTCGCTGATTTCGACGGACTGGGCCCGTCGGGTTTTGGAGACGGCGAAAGGTCGCGAGAAGCAGATGTCGGAGGCCTTCGACAGCGCGGCGGGGACCTTCTTCGGAGAAGTTCGCCAGCAGGACGAAACGCTGCAGGCTGAGCAGAAGGCCCTGCGGGAGCGCGCGCTTGTCCTCCAAGAACACGCGCGCCAGTGGCGATGATGACGCCGTTGATCCAGGTCCTGCCGCGCAGCCAGATGCTGCTGGGAAATGGCGGGCGGTGGTGGCCCACGGGCCAGCTGGCGGCGGCGACCGGCAGCCCGCCCGAGGCCTCGGGGCCCCCCCCATCCGCCGGCGGAGACGCTGCCCTCACGCAGTCGGCGATGGCGTCAGTGGCAGCGGCGGAGATGGCCAAGGGGGCGGCCGTGGCTAGGCACGCTTGGAGGCGGATGCGCAGCCGCGGGTGTAGCCGGCAGCTGGGCGCCCCCAAGGAGGCGGGGGCGTGGCCGAGCCGCGGGGCGAGTCGTGCAGCGCGCTTCAGTTACTGTGCCGCGGCGAAGGCTACTTTGGCATCTACCCCAGCACCCGGCGCTGATGCGCGCAGCGCTTCGGTGGCGCCAACGCCCCTTGCCGCGGCGGCAAGTGCGCCATTTATCCCGAGACAGTTGCAGACCTGGGCTGGCCCTGAGTAGGCAGAGACTGCCCTGCGAACGAATCTCGCGACGGGCCTGGCCTGCCGCGAGGGGCCCAGCAGGGTGGGCTCGCCGGAGGGAAGCCCGAGCTCTCACGTTAGCGGCCTACTGGCGGGGTGCGCATTTCCATGGCCACTGCTGCGCCTGGCGGGAGCGTCATTTCCAGCGATGCCCGCGATGCCAGGGCGGCGACGGCATCGGCTGCCGCGTCGGCTTCCAGGTCCCCAGACTGGGCCTTCTTGCGGCGGCGCGGGCCCCCCTGCATCGCGGAAGGGTCAGGCGTTGGGGGCGTCCGCAGAATTGCCCAGCCGGGAGCTTCGCGACGAGTGCGCGACAGGCATTGCTAGCGCTGCGAGTCCACCACGTGGAGGGCGACGACCTCGTCCTGGCGCAGCAGCACGAAGGGCTGCGTCGCCTTCCCCCTCTAGCGCGTCAGCCATGCCGCCACCGACCCCTGCTCAGTCGTCGTCTCTGGGACTTACATGGAGTGCGATGGCTCCGTCGAGGTTGCGGCCCTGGGCTGACGCTGAGGAAACAGATGCTGACCAGAGGGGCGCGCCCACGCAGGAACTGGCCGACCGCGCGGGAACCCGTAGGGCGGAGTCGCTGGAGGGAAGCCCAGGCTCACACTCGCGGCATCGCGGGTCAGGCGTCGGGGGCGCCCGCAGAATTGCCCGGTTGAGTCCCCCCATCGCTGGGTCAGGCGCGCGAAGATCGACGACCCCGTCCTGGCGCGGCAGCGCCAGGGGCCGCGTCGTCCACCCCCTCCAGGGCGCGCCATGCATGGAGAAATAGGTCGCCCACCATGCCAAACAGATTTGGGTCTCGGGGCCTCTGCCTCGGGCCCAGTGCTGGTCCGTGGCCCATGGGGTTTCGGATGGGGGGCCCCGCGGAATCCGCCAGCAGGCGGGGCCGGTCATCGGGCCCAGCTGCAAGGGTAGATCGCTCGCGAGCCTGGTCGTGACCGAAACGATCCCACGTGGCTGGCGGTCGTTGCGCCTCTCGTTAGGCATGCGAAAGAGCTGTGGAGTGCCTTGCCTGTGCAGGTGTGTTCCTGCGTGTGTTTGTGTCGCTGGAGTTCCACGTTCCCTGAGCGCCGTTCAGGCCTGGAAGATCACTTGGTACAGGCGGCCCCCTATGCCCTGGCCTCCGGTGACGCGCTCTTTTTTCCGGCCATGCTCGCGCGCCTGCGCAGGGCCAGGTGGGAGCCCATTGATTGGGTCAACCTCGCAGGCGGACTTCGGCGACGAGATCGTTCTTGCTGGTGTCAGTTCTGGTCGCTTCACAACATCATGCTCCGCCGAGCCGTGCTGCGCCGCTTTTTGGGCGTCGGGCCTCCGAGGGATTGCCCTCGGAGCGCCCCCGCCCCTGCTTCGACGCCGTCAAGCGAGGTCTCGCCTGCAGGGAAGGCGGCCGTGCGAGTGATCGGGCGCGATGCTTCGTGGACAAGATTTCGTGCTCGGTGCCTGGGTTACCAAGTAGAGTCGACCCGCGCCATATCCCCCCATCCCGGCAACGCTTGGCCCCGCCGTGACGCCTCGGGAAAGGTGCTCCGGCAGTGCGGGGGCGCGGGGGAGGCGTCGGATGAACAGCTGGTTTCAGGGGGCTCTTCCTGGATTACAGTGCGTCGCGCCGCGCGGTGTCAGAACACAGTCGGGCGGCCTGGGGGTTGGCCGTTTTTGGCGGCGCCGACCGCTCCCTGGGTCGGGCTCTCGGCGCAGTGCACGGCGGCTACCCGCGCGCGCCCAAGGCGGTGGAGTTTTATGCGCCCCGTTGCGCGGGACAGCTCCTCGAGGGCCCGAGTGCTTGCACACGGACTGTGCGAACTTTCGCGCAGTCCGAGCAATTGCATTGTCCGCGCGGACTATGCGGACTGCGCAGGCCAACGGACCCTTGCGCGAGCAATTTCATTATCAGGGGACCCGCGCGGGAGCTCCTATTGCTCGGACAGCGCGTTGCCTACCGCATCCGCTCGGAGCAGTAAGTTATGGCACGCGTGTCTCTTCACGAGGAGCGCCCGTCCGACGCGGGGGTGGCCTGGGGAAGGGGGAATGTTCAAGTCGACGAGGCTGCGAAGGCGGGTAACCGTCTGCGCCCCAGGACCCCTGACGAGCAGGAGGAGGCCCTGGAACATGTTCTTTTGATTGCCATTACTGTTCGCAAGCTCGTTGCTGCACGTCCGTGTAAGTGGCCCAAGCTACATGTTTCGGATGTGCCATTCGAGGCGCCTGCCCCCCGGCCTGAGGGCCGAGCGCCCCGGCATACCCCCGCATTCGTGGGAGTTTATGCTTGGCCGTTGGCGTTGCTCGTTCTGTCGCAAGGTCTCTCGGTCTCAGCTCCGCCCGCCCCTCCCTGGATGTCTTGTGAATGCTGGGGTTTGTGGTTTCGGGGAAATGAAGCGTATTGGACATTTCCTTAGAAGTCTGCCGCGCAGTGATGGTAGCTTGCTCCGCACTTGCACCCACCGTGCTGCGCATTGCGGGATAGGCTCATTCAAGAAGTCGAACATATCCAGCCAGTGTTCTTTAAGGAAGAGCCCTCAGAGGAAGTCCATGTGGACCACGCGGATCCTCAAGGGCATCAACCCGAAGTACAGTTGCACGATTTGGGTTTGTTTTGATGGGTTCTTGGGTCTCGAATCAGACTGCTTTAAAATATTTACCCCGGTCTTGATTGCATGTTGCCAATCCAGTCTTGCGCGTCACAGTTGTCGATGTTGAAAAGTCCTTCTCCCGGTCGCCCCTCCTCTTTCACCTCCCCCCTCCTCCACCTCGTGGCAGAACGGCAGAACGGTTCTATTCTGCACAGCAGCAGCCGACGCAGGGCTGTTCGTTTGCCTTAACCCCTGCTCGTTGTGTAGGGCGAGCGTTACCCCCCCCTTCGAGGTCTCGTCCGAGGCTTTGGGAGGCTGTCGAGCGGTTCGTGGTCGCCATGGACCATGGATGAAGGGTTGGCGTCCTCCTCAAGCTTATCCTCCTCCTCCGCCTCCTCCTCGTTTTCCTCCTCCTCCTCCTCCTCCTCCTCTCCCTCTCCCGCACGCCCTACCCCACGAGACGAGGACCATCGAACATACGGTGGTCTGCCATGCCCGGGCCATTCGATGGTTCGCGCGCTTTCCTCAGGCGAGGGTTTCTCGAGCAACTTGGTGCCGTTCGACCTGAGCGTGCGCGAGGCCGCTCGGGTGTGCCTGGCCTCTCCCGTCTCCCTCGCCTTCGCATGGCAGCGAGGCGTGTCAGCCTCCTCCGTCCTCCATGTCCCTCCTGAATCCTCTATGGTCCTTGCTCCTCCTTCTCCGTGCTCCTCCTCCCCGTGACTCCCTCTCCTCCCTCTTCCTGGTTGTCCTCTTCCTCCCTCCCCGTCCCCGTCATATCCTCCTGCTCCCTCGTGGTCCTCTCCATCGTCTCTCCTCCGTCTCCCTCCCTCTTCTCCTCACCCTCCCTCGTTATCTTCCTCCCTCCCCCGCCTCTTCGACATGACACCACCGGGTTGCTCGCGATTCAGGAATGACGACATGCGCACTGTCCCTGCAGACCTTGCAGAGGCCAGGGACGCCGAGGTGGGGGCGAGGACCTGGGGGAGATCTCGCTGCCAGGATCACGAACTCTCCCAGAGGTCATGCCCACGCTGCTTCTTTCACCTCTCCCCCCCTCATCATCCATATGCTCATCGCACATGCCTCGGGGCATGATGTGCTACTCCCTTCTTCCTGGTACCCCCCTTGGCGCGGGCTTCGGCCGTCTCTGCAAAACAGGTGGTTAGCAGCCCGATCGTCACCCATGCTAGGCGCAGTTTGGGGAGAGACTCTTGCCGCTCGGCCTTGTCAGCCGAGTGCAGGATCCGGCCCCCGGATCCACCCCAGAAGGGCTCTCTTAAACGGAGCTATATTACGGGGGACCTGGATAGGAGCGCTGACGGAGGAACCACACAGGACGACTTCGGCGAAGCCATCCGACCACGACGGCGTTCCTGACAGCAACGGCGTGGGACGGCTTGCAGCCACAGCGGACACGACGTGGTGGAGCCCGCTCGGGAGAACCGTCCTCGCCAGAACTTCGTGGAAAGCAGCACGAAGGCCGACCATTACTGCCCTCCAGCTCCGATTACCACCGACCACCAGCGCCGACAGAAGTCGAAGCAGCCTCCATCACAACATATCAACCACCGCCAGCTCAGAAAGTGGAAGCACGATCGCCGCGCAGGAGGAACAGCAATCTAAGATCAGAGAGCACATTTAAGTGACCCCCGATTTGTTTCTCCCCCCCCATTTCTCGCCCGCCCTGGGATGGTCGGCAGGCCAGTCGGCGGCGAGTTTGGTCGATTATTTCCTCAGGACGTGTGTTGGCCATCCGGCAGACGCACAAGGACTGCATGGTCTGAACATACTCCTGCCCCACTCCACCCCGCTCTCTCCTCCTCCCGCTGCCCGCCGTGCCCTAGTGCATCCCACGTCTGCCTCCTTTGAACGCGGCTAGGATTCTCGCCGCTGCGACAAAAAAGTGCCGGCCCAATGACCACTGCGCGCGTGTGTATTTGTGTGTGTTTGTGTATGTGGGTGGGTATGTGGGTGGGTATGGGTGTGGGTGTGGGTGTCGGTGTGGGTGTGTGTGTGTGTGTGTGCGTGTGTGTGTGTGTGTGTGTGTGAGTGCGTGTGTGTGTGTGGTGTGTGTGTGTGTGTGTGTGTGTGTGTGTGCGCGCCAAGCTCTGGTTCCGCCAGCCGCTTCGGGGGCAACGTTTGAGGGGGATGGGGATAGGCATCTGGGGGATGCATCGTTGATATCAGGGCGATGTATCCCCCAGATGCAAAGAGGATGCATGGGCGATGTACCGACCATTCGGGGTCGATGCATCCCCCCCTGTGCCTGTCCCCCCCTGTCGTTGCCCCTCACCGCTGGTTTCGCCGACGGCTGGCGCCGATGACAGGTTTCGTCGACGGCGGGGTTCGCCTTGCGGGCGGGACAGTAACGGGCAGCTCGGTCAGGCGGGCAGGACCGTCACGGGCGGGTCGAGCGGGCGGGCCCGCGGGCCTCCCGGCACGTGAGCGTCGGCGAAGCCAGCCGGGCGAAGCCCGCGATGCAGCGAAACCAGCGGTCGTCGAAGCCAGCGTTCCTTCGGAATGGGAACGATTGCGCAGTCGCCCGCATGCAGCTGGTTTCGGCGCCTCCGCCAGGCGCCTTTCCTCGAGTGCACGGGTGCTTCCTGGCGCCAGGATACACCTTATGCGATGCTTAAGAAAACCTAAGTTTTCGGCCAGAGTCTCGATTATTCTTAACGTTTCAATGTAAATCCTAAGATTTGAATGGAAATTTTGGGTTTTTACTCGAGTTCTGAGACTATGAATTTCTTAACCCATGATTTCTTAAGCATTTCGCAGGGTGTACGCCAGGAAGATCAGCTACGTGAGCTGATTCGCGAGCCCCCCCTTTACAATCCCGCCAGTCGTCCGACCTGAGCCAGCTCGTTCCGCCCCCTTCCCCCTCCCAGAGAAAAGACGGAAGCAGTCCGAGGAGAGGGGGCTTGGAGGAGGAAGGAGGCGGACCTGCGAGATTGTTCGACTCCAGCCCTTTCTTTAACTTGCCCGCGTCGCAGTGAGGGGCTCCAACACGGGGTGCATTTCGATTCGATGGATTTGGTTTGATATCGAACTGACCCGGCTCGATACGATTCGATGTTGCTTTCCCAGCGATCCGATGCACCCAGATGTTCGCATGGAGTTGTTGCGTTTCCTGGTGCGGTCGATCCGACTCGATTTCGATTCCGTGGTGATGCAGTCGCGTCCGACGCACTTTCCCATTCGATCCGATTGCCCGATCCGATGTTGACCGATCTTGCAACACGCGCTCCGAATTATCATCTGAACGGCGTAGGCCACAAGTAATGGGATATGGCGATTTCAATGTCAGGGCAAGTGTTTTCTCTTTAAAGCCTTGGCTGTCAAGGAGTCCAGCAGGCCTGAAGCTGACCATGGTGCCTCAGAGCCCTGGGCCAAACGGACTTCACGGACGTGCGAGGAAACGACGTTAACAGATATGTAGATCGTTGGTGGTCGAGTCGGACTCCTGCTCCGAATTATCATCCGAGCATCCCGGCCCGACGCACACTCACATTCCGATTCGAGCCGCTTTACCGATTCGCCCAGGTCGTCGCCAGCACTCAGGAAGAATGTCGCTCTCCACTTGGTGCCGATGGGCACGCCCCCGTTTGTGGAATTGGATTTCCCATCGCATTGGTAGTATTACCCGTATTATTGTTCTTAGTATCATTATTATCAGTATGATTCTTATTGTGATTATTATTCCTATTACAAATTCTTGTTTATCGTTAATCGTATGATTGTTCTTCTCATTATTATTAGTATTAGTATTATTATTCGTCGCCTTAGCGTTTGGCATTGGTGTTGTTTTTATTTCTAGGTGTTGTTAGCATTCCTACGTGCTCTCCCCCTCGAACAAGAAGTACCACGACTTCTCGCATCCACAGTCTGATCTGTGTGCTCTGCTGCTGCTCCTGCTGTCACTCGTACAATGTTTCGGCGGCGAGCGAGGGTGGGAAGTGAGAAGGGGCGGGCCTTCTCAGAAGTCTCAGAAGCCCCCCGGCATTCTGAGAAGTTTTTGAAGCTTTCCCCGGAGACAGAAAGAACCTCTCAGAAGGCGCGAGGGCTTCTGAGAAGTCCCGCCGCCTTCTCAGAAGGCCTTCTCATTCTCACTCCCCCCCCATCGCTCGCCGCCAACTGTTGCTCCTCACTCGTGACCCTGAGCCCGACCCGTTGCCGACCCGTCCTGCACCCCGCGCTCCGCGTCGCCGCCACGATCGGCAGAGGCCTGGGCCATGGTGCTCGACTGCGCCCTCGGCCTGCTCGTGGCCGTGCTGCTGGGGCTGCTGGCCTTCGGCGCCGCCGCCGCTGCCGCCCGCGGGCTCCGCGCGCGCGGGGGGAGGCCGCCCTCTCGGGAGGGCGTGCTGGTTCCTCGCTTTCCTCCCTCTCCTCCTCGATACTCCCCTGTCCCCCCCCCCCTCCCCGTCATTCCCTCCTCCCCCCCCCTCTTCCCTCCCCTCCCTCCATCCTCCCTCCTCCTCCCATCCTCTCGCCTCCCCTCGCCTCCTCCATTCCCCCTCCCCCGCTTCCCTCCTTCCCCCTTTCCTTCCTCATCCTTCCCCTCCCTCGCTACCTTTTCCCCCTTCTTTACCCCTGGCTGGTGGAGAGCCCCGGGGGTGGGGGGGAACGGGGCGGAATCGGGGAAAACACGCGCCTATTCTGAGTACCTCAATAGTTTTTGGGCCCCCGGGTTACAGGGCCCCCCCGGACTACAGGGGCCCCTCCTCCGGACTACAAGGGCCCCCCCGGGACTACAGGGACCTTCCTCTAGACGACAAGTGTCCCCCTGGGGCTACAAGGGCCCTCCCCGGACTACAAGGACCCCCCTCTGGACTACAGGGCCTCCCCCCGGCCTGCCGGGCCCCCCCCCCCCCCCCCCGACGGACTATTGGTCACCGCAAAAAACTATTGAGATACTTTGAGTACACGTGGGCAGAGTTGCGTCTGGTCAGTCACTTCTCAGCCAGTGCCCAGCGTCCCACCTCCAGCAGTACCTCGGAGGTGGATAGACCTCCTACCCTGACACGTCGATTAGTGAATTGTCCGTTTTCGGTTCTCGAGAGGGCGCCGCGGCCGTCATTTTCCAGGCTTGCGCCCGCCAGGTTTGGGCCCGAGGTCGTTTTCACTGAACCACGTCTTACTAAAGGGAGGTCTGTCCATCCCCGATACCGAGCGCTTCGGCTTTGAGCCCTCGGCTCTTGTCCGTGCGTCTCGAGTGCTAGGCCGAGGCGGAGGGCGCGGAGCGCGCCCTCCGCGCGGTGGTCCCAGCGGTTGCGTATGCGGGACGGTACAGCACCGTTTTTAATACATGCTCCGCGTGCCGGTGTAAAATCCCATATTTAAAACATCTTATGTATTAAAAGTTGCCCTGTACAGATGCTTGGTCTGTCATCGCGGTCCCTGTCCTCCCCCTCCTCATCCCCCCCTTCGCTCTTTCCCATGCCTCGAGTGGGGGATCGACTGCAGAACTGATTTACCCCAGAATTCATTTGTCCGCCGAATCTGCACAAAATGCATATAGAAACCTCCGACGACCTGGGGCGCATCGCATTCATGTTTCATAGATTCGACGGAGCATTGATTTTTTGGAGGTAAATCGGTTCTGTAGTAGATCCCCTACTCAAATGCTCTCTCCTTCCCTTCCTCATGATTCCCTCCCTCTTCCCAAGGAAACTCTCGAGAGATGGATGGGCAAGCGGGGCGTCTGCGTGCACTGCTCGTGTGTACGCATGCGGTGTGTGTGTGTGTGTGTGTGCGTGTGTGCGTGTGTGTGTGCGCGTGTGTGCGCGTGTGTGTGTGTCTCTGTGTGTGTGTGTGTGTGCGTCTGCGTGTGTGTGCGTCTGTGTGTGTGTGTGTGTGCGTGCGTGCGTGCGTGCGTGCGTGCGTGCGTGCGTGCGTGCGTGCGTGCGTGCCTGCGTGCCTGCGTGCGTGTACGTGCGAGGGGGGGAGATGGAGACGGAGGGCGACGATGGATTGGCTGGATGGGATTTCAGAGTAATGTGGGTCTAGCGGGGGGGCTGCCCTCGAAGAATAATAAACGCCGTAAACATAAATTTTAGGCGATGAGCGCGGATTTCTTGGATCCGCGCTGGGCTCCCCCTGGCGGTGCTTTTGGCGCCGCCCCTGGCGCGCTCCGCGCGCCAGGGAGGGGGCCCTGGCGCAGATCCAAGAAATCCGCGCGGAGCGCCAACATTGTTTGTTCATAGTTCTGTTCCTTCCATGGATGGGATTTCAGAGTAGTGTGGGTCTAGCGGGGGGGCTACCCGTTGCGTGTGCTATTTGCTTAGCCGTGCTTGTGTTCTGGCGTGACGTCTGTTCTTTGGTCGTGTCTTTCTGGGTAAATCCGCCGATTGGAGTAGGGGCGCCTTGCCCTAGCCCAATTCTAGCCCATCCTGGAGACTATCATTTCACATACAATCAGTCGGCCGTCTCGTCTGGTCTTCTGTCAACCGTCACCAAGCCTAGGGAGCAGCAGTTCCGGAGAAGATCGCAGTAGTTCTCTTCCACTGCGTTCGGCTCCCTCCCATCTCACCCTCCTCGGAGGGTAACGACTACACCTGACCCGATCCTGCCAGGATCGGTGCAGGTGTAGTGTTGGCGTCCCCCTGGCTCCTCTTCCGTCCCAGCGGAGTCCCTTATCGTGTGCTTCGGTATCCTTCGACCGCCCCAGTCTTCTATCCTGCTCCCTCCCCCCCCCGGCCGCCGCGAAGGCGTCGTGCCCAACCTGTTCTCCAACATCACGACTATCGAGCAGAACTATCCCAGGACCAGACGACGAAGCTTGGCTCGCCCCCCCCCCCCCGCCCCCTCCCCTCCAGCCCCGCCCGCCAACTGCTCCACGCCGCCCCGCTGGCGCCACAGCATGTGGGGCCCTGGGATGAAGTCGGGCACGTCCCTCTACAGGAGGGACCTTCAAACATACTTTTAGAAATAGTCAGGGGACGATGTTTCGACTATGTTCGATAATTCTTGTGTATGTTTGACTATTCAAATGTTTTTCCTCTAAAATTTGCCTGTAGGGGGACATGCCCGACCTGACCCTGGGATCGCCGTCGTTGGATGCGCGATGCGGTGCGGTCGCGAGACCCTCGGATCCCAGCGTCGCACCAGCGTCGGGACGGCCGCCGCGTTCCAAAAGAACGTGCTCCAGTGTGGGGCCCATAGTCGGGCTTGACGAGATCTGTACCACTCCGCTACCCCCTCGTCCACATCCACGGTCCCCACCACTGTCCCCACTGTACCCACCACTGTCCCACTGTCCCCGCCGCTGTCCCACTGTGCTGTCCCACCGTCCCCACTGTCCCCACCACTGTCCCACTGTCCCCACCACTCTTCCCACTGTAACCTCATCAAGCCATGAAGGACCCCCCCGAGGTTATCATTAGCACCGCACCGTAATTAGATAATTATGGGGGGCTGTTTTCGCCGAGCGATATGATTAGCACCGCGCGAATTGAACGATAATAAATAATTTCCGCGCCCCGGCTCGGGTGGTATCTCAATTGGAATTGAAATCATAATCAGCATTAGAGTAAAATGCGATTCATAATAATAAGAATAATAGTGCTAACAAGAGGAATAATATCAATCATAATGATTATCAACAGAAAAATAATGATCAGAGTAACAATAAGAATACCGAAACCAGTACTGATAAGAGTAATATGAAGAGTCGTGATACAATAATTAAGAACAGTAACCATTACCCGAAAAAACAATACTCGGAAGAAATAAAGAGAACTGTAATACTAAGGATGGTAATACTAACAACATATTCATCATATAATACGAATAAGAATTAACATACGAATAAGAATGATACGTAGCACCCCGCAATTGCGGATAAGAGTGAGGGGGCGGGCGCGGGCGACGCGGGCGTCGTCGAGCCGGCGGACCTCGTGGCCCCCACCTTCCCTGTCGATGGCGCGCTCATCCTCCTCCTCCTGCTCCTCCTCCACCTTCTCCTCCTCCTCCTCCTCCTCCTCCTCCTCGTCCTCCTCCTCCTGTTCCTCGTCCTCGTCCTCATCGTCATCGTTATCCTCCTCCACCTCGTTATCCTCCTCTTCTCCCTCGTCCTCCCTCTCCCCCCTCGTCCTTTCATCATCGTCCTCCCATTGTCGTCCTCCCCCTCATCGGCCTCCATCATCGTCCTCCCATTGTCGCCCATCATCATCATCATCCTCCCCCTCCTCCCCCTCCTCGTCCTCCTCCTCCCCCTCCTCCCCCTCCTCGTCCTCCTGCTCCTCCTCCTTTTCTTTCTCCACATTATCCGTACATCCTCCTTTCTTCCGCGTTCTCGTCGTCCCCTGTTTACTCCTCCTGCCTCCCCCCCTTTTCCCAAGATCGCTGCAACGCAATCCTTTTTTCCACTTTATGCTCCCCGCCTTCTCTGATCAAGGCAACTCGCCAGGGCAAAGTTGCTGGACGGGCTGGACTGGATGCGCGGGGTTTGAAGAGGTTCTTGCGGGCTCAGACGGCATGCAAAACCGCTGCCGCGCTTGTGCGGCATTGGTTTGTTCAGTGAACGTGGTTTAGGTCGCGGGTGGGTTGCGGGCTTTCCACTTCCACCTGGAAGGAATGCAAAAGCAGCCCGCCGCAGGCGCCAAACAAAAATGTTTGTTCACTGAACGTGGTTTGGGTCGCGGGTGGGCCGCGGGTTCTCCACCGGGGACGAATGCAAAATATGCCCGCCGCAGGCGCCGAAAAATGTGGTTTGTACCCTGAACGTGGTCGCGGTTGGGCCGCGGGCTCTCCACCTGAAGCGAATGCAAAAGATGCCCGCCGCGGGCGCCAAAAAATGTAGTTCGCGCCCTGAACGTGGTTTGGGTCGCGAGTTGGTCGCGAGTCGGTCGCGGGGTGGGTCGCGGGCTCTCCACTTGGAAGGGATGCAAAAAAATCCGTCGCATGCGCCGGCAATGGTGGTTCGTACCTTGAACGTGGTTTGGGTCGAGGGTAGGTCGCGGGTAGGTCGCGGGGTAGGTCGCGGGTGGGTCGCGGGTGGGTCGCGGGTGGGTCGCGGGTTGGTCGCGGGGTGGGCCGCGGGCGGGTCGCGGGGTGGGTCGCGGGGTGGGTCGCGGGGTGGGTCGCGGGGTGGATCGTGGGGTGGGTCGCGGGGTGGGTCGCGGGTGGGTCGCGGGTGGGTCGCGGGTGGGTCGCAGGGTGGGTCGCGGGTTGGGTCGCGGGCGGGTCGCGGGGCGGGTTGCGGGTGGGACAACAACAACAACAAAAACAACAAAAACGACAAACAACAAACAACAAACAACAAACAACACCAACAAACAACAAACAACAAGCAACAAACAACAACCACCAAACAACAACAACAACGATAATCATGACCGTTCGGCCCCCTCACTCTGACGAGTTGTTTTTCTCATTTTCTTCATCATCCTTGTCCTATACGATTTGTAGCACCACCCCTGTTGAAACATTGTTGTTTCCGTGCCGTCGTGTCGGGTAGTGCATCCGAGGATATCGCCCCCGCCACGCACGACGCGTCGTCTTAGCACCGCACCCGCACAACATAATTACGACAATGTGTCCAACAAAACAAAGAAGCACAATACTACAATTCAAAAGTAATATTGGTACAAGTAATAACAACAGTAATGATAGTAATAAGAATAGCAATTAAACAATACATGCGGGTAATAAGCATAGAATACGAGTAGGACTAATCCGAAAACAAACAGCCTCCCCTGTTTGTTTCCTCCCTCCTTCCGTTTTCTCCTATTACTTTTCATCCTTATTCTATACAATTACGTGGTGGGACAATGGTCGGGAGAGTGGGGACAGTGAAATACTGGTGGGGGCATTGGTGGGGACAGCGGGGACAATGGTGGGAACAGTTGGGACAGTGGGACAGTGGTGGGGACTGTGGGGCAGTGGTGGGGACGGTGGTGGTGGGGACAGTGGTGTGGGGACAGTGGGAATGTGGTGGGGACAGTGGGACAGTGGTGGGGACAGTGGTGGTGGGGACAGTGGTGAGGGCGGGCGTTGGCGAGGATGGCCGTGGGACAATGGGACAGAGGTACAGGGTGGGGACAGTGGGGATAGTGGTGGGAACAGTGAGACAGCTCAGTGGGACAACGGCGGGGACAGCGGGAAAGTGGGGACAGTGGGACAGTGATTGGGGCCGTGGGGGAAGTGGGGAGAGTGGGACCGTGGTAGGAACAGTGGTGGGGAGACTGGGGGCAGTGCGACAGTGGTGCGAGCACTGGTGGGGACAGTGGGGACGGTGGTGGGAACAGCGGGGACAGTAGTGGTGAGGACAGTGGTGCTGGGGACAGCAGTGGGGGATGTGGTGTTGACGGTCGTGGACCCAGGAGTCGCTTGCCGGCGGTGAGCGTGAGAAGGATGGGGGGGAAGGGTTCGAATTGGTAGTGGTCCGCCCCGGTTTTCTAAGGGGGGGGGGGGGCGGGGGTTCGAACCAGTAGCGACCCTCCCCAGTTCTCTGGAGGGGGAGGGGGGGGGAGGGGTTCGAACCAGTAGTGACCCCCCTTGGTTTTCTACGGAGGGGGGGGGAGGGGGTTCGAACCGGTAGTGACCCCCCGCGGCTTTCCGGAGGGGGGGTGTTCGAACTGGTATAGTAATCTCACACGCTTTTCCGGAGGGGGGAATAGGGGGGGGGGTGCCGGGGAAGGAGGGGGGGGATTTTCGGAGGGGAGGGGGGCGGGGGGACCCCTGGGCTCCGGAGGAAGAGGGGTGGAATTCTTCCATCGTGAAGCGGTCGTGGATCACGGTCTCTCGGGTCAGTAGATCCCCAAAGGGTTCTTGGACGCCGCGAAAAGGAGCGGCGAAAAAGAGGAGACAGCGAGGCTGCAGAAAAGGGGCCCTGCAGGGCCTCTGGGGGGGCCTTCTCGGGCCCAGAAAGGTGCCTCCTTCCTTCCCCCCTTGTATCGCCCCCCCAATAAGCGGCGCCCAAGGCGCGATCTCCGCGCGGGCGTTTGGGGTTGATCGCCGCCCGTTGTCTAGAATCGGCACATCGTTGAGCGATCCAGATGTTCTGCAATGGCCGATCGTTCATGTTCGATCAAGGAATTGGCCGCTTTCGGTTCGCGACAGGGCGTCGCGGCCGTCATTTCTGCGGGTCCGGGTCCGTCGGTTTCGGTTCTATAGGCCGTTTTCACGAAGGGGAGGCTTGCTAAAAGGCAGGTTTGCCCACCGCCGATTCGAGTGATCCCCGCTAGAGGGCCACATGTGAACCCTACCCCTACCCCCCACGACTTCTGAGGGGGCGGGTGGGGTTCACTCCGTTCGGGAGCTTCCGAGCGAAGTGAACCCCACCCTCCCCCTCAGAAATCGTGGGGCGTAGGGGTAGGGCTCGCATGTGGTCCCCTTCCCCTCGGTGTCCGAGGCCGACACGACGCGAGCCGGCCGCAGTCGGCTCCAGGAGGGCCTGCTCGGAGAGTTTATAGACGACGCCCTGGGACGGCGGCCCTGCTCTGCCCCCCCGGCCCTGCGAGAACACACGTTCCGCCGTGCAGGGTCTGGCCGCATCTTGCCTGCACTTCAGGGGTGAAAAGGCGACGGGGGTGCGGAGGAGGAGGAGAAGGAAGAGGAGGAGGTGGAGGAGGAGGAGAAGGAGGGGAAGGAGGGGGAGGAGGAGGAGGAAGAGGAGGAGGAGGAGGAGGAGGAGAGGAGGAGGAGGAGGAGGAGAGAGGAGGAGGAGGGGGGGAGGAGGAGGAGGAGGAGGAGCAGGAGGAGCAGGAGGAGGAGAAAATGGAGGAGGAGGAGGAGGAAGAGGAGGAGGAGGAGGGATGAGGGAGGAAGGGGGGAGCAGGAGAAGGAGGAGGCGGCAGTGCACATTTCGGGTTCAGGCAGATGGCAGCAGCAGAGGTCTGCGCCCCTGCTCCTGGCGTGCGCCGCCGTGCCATCGGCGGACCGGCGGGGCGCCGAGGAACATGAACCCCTTCGACCAGGAGGGCGTCATGGCCAACATGGCCCAGGTCTTCGGCTCGCCCGGCCCAGACTGGCTGCTCCCAGTGGCGCGCCCTTGCCCCGCCTCCGCCCCGGGGGGACCGTCGAGGGCCTCGGCGGGAGACGCCAGGTTGTCAGGGAGGAGGAAGGCCAGAAGGAGGAGCGGGAGGAGGAGGATGAGGAGTGGGAGGAGAAGGAAGACCAGGGGGAGGAGCAGGAGGAAGAGGAGGAGGAGGAGGAAGAGGAGGAGGAAGAGGAGGAGGAGAGGAGCA